GTGTACATTATTGTAGTCTTTTCTGTGATTTTAAACACACACATACATAAAAAAAAAAAAATATATATATATATATATATATATATATATAATCATAGTAAAAAAACATGTTTATATACATACTTTATTGTGATTATAAGTACAATTCGCGCTTACTGCTTATGCCTTATATTTTTCTGAATGGTAACATTATAAAATACGTATACAAACAGCATTTTAAAAAATGATGATCACTAAGAATCAATGACAATATCGATTGGACACTACGAATTCCGAACAAACCAATATATTTATACATATGTAAAGAATTTATCTTCACTATAGAATTTGGAATTAAATCAAGTTATAGATTTATGTTATATACATACACATTTTTTTTAAACTTCAATCTCTAGGATTGTCTCCTTTATCTATGTGTATATATTTTGTAATAATTATTAGCTAAACAGACGTATTTTTCTTTAAATAATCAAGTTTCCATTACCATTACGACAATGCAAAACTCTGCTTTGTTTTATGGACATTTTTATTCTTTTTCCCATTTCTTTCTTAAAATCACTATACAGTTTATATCTGACGAAGGAAAGTTTAAGAAACTATTAACTTACATTCATTGGAAGATATTTTTTTCGTTTTCTATTTTTTTTATCACATAGTATTTTTAAGTAAAACAAAGTTTGAAAGCGATTAAATTTTATAGATTCGTATTTTTATTTGTAAAGCATTAATTATTGAGTTCTGATGAAATGATTTAATTTTCACATATAATACAGTTTATAATGTGATGAAAAAAAGATGTCATAGACATAAAGTGCAATGATGAATCATTTTTTAGCTATAGCGTATCAAAAGTACTTTATGAGTACAAGTTTTATACCATAACTCAAAAATTATTGAGCCTTGTGTCTATGATATCTTTCGTTTATCACATTATAAAAGTCTTCTATGTGAAAACTAACTTATTTAACCAAGACTTAATTTTTCATATAATTAATATGGAGTCCTTGTATATAGATGTATATAATTTCTTTCTCTTATATGTAATAAAAAAATTATATAAATAATTTACCAAAATTATTAAAAAAAAATCATGAAAAGTATAAAGAAGGTATACATAGGAATATAATGCCTTCAGCAACATGAAATTCTCTATGTAAATATATAGTATTTTTCTGTGTGTAAACTTAAATTGGGATATATATATATACATATATATATACCATATGTAAAAAAAATATATACACTTTTAAATATGTATATGTATACATATATTTTTTCTTACACTATTGGATTGAGCGTTGAAATTTAACGCAAGTCCTTAATCGTTCTCTGAGCCCAATTTCTAAATTTATGAAAATATTATTAATTTTTTTCTTTCCCTTCGATTTTACGAAATTTAGTTTAGTAGAAATAGCAGCATGAGCCGTACTATTTATTCTTTATCACCTGATTGCTTCGATCGATTCTTCTTTCCGTACATATCGTAATACCCAACTGTATAAAATCTTAATTTAATATAACATCTTGTTTCAATGCTTTGATTCTATCATAGTGAAACGGCGTTCAATTCGAAACAAATCGTTATCGTAAGAATATCAATCTGATAATGCAATCTGAGTGCTTATAAATATGAAAATCTATGCAAATGTATAAAATCAATAATGTGGAATTTTGTACAATCTTCGATGAGTTGCATACAACGATTCATGAATCTTAGTCCAAGTTAAATTTAAGTGTTTGTGTGGGATCGATTTATGCATAATGATAAAAGCTATTGATATTATAATAATACAAAGTATCTATGGTATTGTTTCGAAGCATCGTTATTTAATTTCCTTTTAATTTCTCTTTTCAACACAAAGTTACTTTTCCACTTGTAGCCAGCATGATCTACGTATTGTAAGAGTTCGCTATAGAAATACACCTGCTCTTGCTTGCTACTATTTTCCTTTTTATATGTAGTGCCTAAAAATAATAAGAAATAATAATTAATAAGTAACTAATTTATATTATAAATTAAAAAAATAAGCTATAATGGATTATCCTTGAAATTTAGAGAAGGATTTGTGTTTAATTATGATAATTTTTTATTAATGATATTAAATCCTCTGAGATAAATTATATATTTTTCTTCCCGCAAATTTAAATACATTTTAGAAATGCTATAATTATTTCATCTATCTTTAAAATTTGCATATAATTTTTCAAAAATCTTTAAAAAATTTCCTGTAGCTCTTGATGAGCCTGTTTATAAAAAAAATTATTTTTTTTTATACTACTCTAATCGAAATCTCCGGTATTTCCGCGATTAATTCACTTTTTTTTGCTCTAAAAGAGAGAGAAATAAAAATAATCAAGAAATAGGAAATTTTTTAAAAATCGCAACTTCAAAGTGTCTGTATGCGAGATATTCTTGTAGGCTTCTTTTTCTCTATACACACAATATGTCGCTTAATAATTATATATAATAATTAACTGTTGGACACACAAGAGCCTTAGAGAAAATATTAAGTTCGTAGAAGAGAAAAACTATGTTGTAAAGCTCGAGAAGAGGGACACTGCCACGTGTGATAGACGAAGACATAGCGGAGAAAGCGATATTTTCTATTTGCGTCAGTTATGCTTGAAAGACTATTATTCGCGAAGATACAAGTCTTTGCTATTAGCGAATAGTGAGGAGTATGTGTAGTAACTAGCCTAGGGAGATAAGCGATTATGTTTACGAATCGTTTTGATTACATAAACATGGCCTTATCCGAAATTATTAATGATTTCGATTAATTTTTATGTATGTTACTCTCGAACACGATGTGAATTTTTTATAGAACAAATATTAACTCAGGAACTTTGCATCGGATTAAATTAAAATGCGATCGATATATATTACGCTCAGAATATATTTTCTAAGAGTGTATGCTATATTTACGTATGTGCACACATGTATACAACATTGTTTAAGAAATGTATAGTATATAACGTGCAAAGAAATGGTATTATATCGGAATCGTGAATGTCACTGTTAATTATTATATTGTCACGATTACCATCGCTGTTTTCACACGCGCAAACGACTGATTTGTGAAATGCAGAGGATCTATGATTAAGAGTTTAGTTGATAATTTCATTCAATAATATAGTGGATATTTTATGTATAGTTATATAATCTTTTCTTCCCGTGTGAACTCAAATACGCTTTGTCAAGTGCAACATATTATTGTTGCTGTCTTTGAAATTTGTAATAGGTATATATGTATTATATGTATATATAGGATTTAGATTAAATTAAAATGTGAATGCGAATCTTATAAACTCACAGGGCTTAATAAGTTTTTTTGTATACACACACGCACACGCACACACACCTATATATGTGTATGTGTGTGTGTGTGTGTATATATACATAAAAACTTATTAAGCCCTGTGAGTTTATAAGACTCGCATTCACATTTTAATTTAATCTAAATCCTTATCTTAATCCTTAACTTTTGTGTAGAATCTAAATTATTGGGAGAAGGCTTCGAGATAATAGTAAAAAAATATAACTTTTAAAAATACACATTGCAAAAGATTAACGGAAAGATAATGAACAATTTTATACTTTCATATATTGGAAAAAATCATTGTCTCCAAAGTTTATGATTAGTCATTAGTAAAAGCCTCAGTTCTTACTCAAATTGTAAAAACTGTAAAAAAGAAGTCTTCTTAGTTCTTTTGTGGATATTTTTAAAACATTTTTTGCCATCTTTACTTAATTCAGCTTTACTCTAATGCCTAAATTAATTTAATTTACTATATATTACTACTAATTACATTTCTGTCTGTATTTTATCACTTATTCTAAACTTATCATTTGCTATGTACTTCTGTTTTCTTTTATATATATATAATATTTTCCTTTCTAAATCTCCTCTTTTCTATGCAAACTTGCCTCGTCATCGCTACTTTTGTCATCCCTTTCCTCGTGAACTATAATACATATATATGTTAAATATTTTTCTGATATTCATGTTATATTTAACTTGTGGTAACTATCGAAGCTTACACGGGACGAAATTACTTCTAGACATATGTATTTTTAAATGCGGTTATTCTCATCGTGTTTATATAGGTCAAATGAAAAATTCCGTTTTCGGAATATGATATTTTATAACGCCTATGCCGTGTTGAGAATTTTTCGAAAGAAATCTCTCATATAGAATATTATTCTCAGGAAACTTTTCGCGCCTTTTCTCTTATTTATCATGTAAACTGAAGATTAATGTACTTAGTAATTTGATCTCCGTCAATTGTAACCCGATTTTTTTGCCAATACGACAATATATGTTAACGAAACTGTGCACGGTGATGAAAACGCAAAGAAATGGAACTGCGTAATCAAATTGTGCAATTATGATAGTAATTGAAAAGCAGTAATAGAAAGACAAAATAATTGCTAAGGTAAATCTCTAGTTTTTATATTCTGTGATCATAAGAAATTTAAGAGAAAAGCAGAAGAGTATATTATGTATATACATATATATATATTTATATAATACTTTACATGTCATTTATCTTTCTCGTTAATGAATTTTTGGCCTAGTTTATAGCTGATTTGTTTCTAGATGAAAATTCAACCATTTTTCTAGTGACATAATTTTTTTATTAGATTAATTTGTTTTAGCAAAAATTTTGTTTAAAATTAATTAAAGTATGTAGTGTATTGGAAAGTAAGTGATGATAGGAAATTTTTTTAAATAATAGAATAATTCGAAACTTGAGGAGGAGAAGATCTGTGATTGATAAGTAGCATAGAGAAAGAGTTAGAAAGAGAGAGAAAAAGAGATAGGCAGGGAGAGAGCATGCGAGATAGAAAGAGAGAGAGAGAGAGAGAGAGAGAGAGAGAGATAATACACATATACATATATGTATATATTAAAGATGTACACATGAAGTTTTCAGCACCGTAAAAATATTTTTGATAATATTAAAAATTTATACAATTTTTTAAAATAATTCTTGAGACTTTCCTTTGTCTTGATCCAGAGTAGCGAAATTATCTATTGTATTTTGTTTTAATAAAATAATCTAGTGTTTGGATTAATGGAATCATCGACGAATTAGTGTATATTGATGTTTTTAAGCTGTTGGTTGTTAATGAATGATACATCGATTTAAAGTCATCGAGTAATCGTCACGAGGAATCATCACAAGCTCGCGCGAAATGAGCAGCGGATACGGCAAAAATGAATTAAAAAATATAAATCTTAGGGTACAAGTACACCTCGCCAAAAAAAAAAATATATGTATGTATGTGTGTAACGTGAAAACTGCGTAAATTCTGTACACGATGTATATTTACCACTCGTCGCGTACGCTACCTGTCTTGGAGAGAGAGAGAGAGAAAGAGAGAGAGAAACGAAGTTGAAACACAGTTACTGAAATGTTTTGAAATATTTTAATTTTTAATTCAAATATGTTCATTTTTGATTGCTCGCAAATATTAGAACGAAAAATAAATGATTTTAGACAAGGAACTATACAGAATTATACAACAGGGATCGTACGCGTCGCGTGATCGATAAAAAAAGAAAAAAAAAGAAATATGAAAGTAACATAAATAAACGTAATGTGCAAATGAAACGTACCTTAGTGATTATTTTGTCTTCTTAATATCACACATATTATATGTACATATGCAGTACTGCCGCACACTGTATCGCTGCATTTATATATGTATATGTACATATATATATATATGTACATATATATGTGTATATATATATATATGTGTGTACACACACACACACACACACACACACATACACACACAATATACACATATATGTATTAACATCACTGCTCAGTATATTATGCGATCATATTTTTTGCGATGTCATTACATAAATCACGCACGAAACGAGTTCATCAAAAATCAATAAAATAAGATTAACGGACATTGCCCGTGTCATTCGTGCCTGTTGCTTGGTGAAGGGTACATCACGACTATTATTGCTACTATTATTGGGAGCAAAATTACCGTTATCACACGATTATACTTATCGCTGTTGTAATGTTAATATAGTACGTTGTTAATGTTTTGAGACATGTATGTGTGCGTGCGTGCCCTTATGAACGCAAATATGAGCATACGTTTGCATGATTTACACTTTTTTTGCATTTGAATATATATTTGCATGCGTAGAATTTGCAAATAAATGCTTTTGCTAGATTGCGTACCTTGAAAGTCTCATTCTATTGCCGGCTTACATAATCGAAGAAAAAACCAGAAGCTGGAAACTAATTCATCGTAGAAATCTCAGTAGAATACTTCTTCTTTTTTCCCACTGCAAATTAATTTGTTAGTTATATATCAGTATGTGCAAACTTTTTCACCCACACACTAAACTTAATCTAAGATAATTGATTTTTCATGATCTATATTCGTTCCCATATCAATCTATCTTCAAATTCTTATGGAGAAGAATGTTAGAAGATTTACAGATTACAGATATGAAGAAAGAAAGAAAGATACGAGTTTATATACTACATTTAACTATGAAATTATAACAATTGAGTCAGTTATTTTGATAATTCTGCTGAAAATAAAAACGTCTTATTTATTGGCTTCAGTTTAGATTCAGTTTAGATTCACATCTTGCTCATTCAAAGTTTGAATTCTTCAAATCATTCAAAATAATAGACTCAATTATATTAGAGGTATATTAAAAATGTAGTATTTATTTACATGACGTGTTATTTTTACGCGGTATTAACGGATGTTTCGTTCATTGTTTGCATTACTTCACGGAGCAAGACGTCACATTTCTATTTGTCGTTTTCAGGAAAGACATGCATCCAGCCATCACAAAAGCTCCAGCAAACTGCCGCAGTCTCAGCAGTCCCATGCGACGTAGTATGGCTATTTGGATGAGATAGTGGAGATGCTCTAAGGCTTGTTTTTCACTCGATTGGTCCAGAAGAGGATATTTGGAAGCGCATATTCCAAATTGCAAAAGTCTGTGGGTTATTGAATGGGGAGAACCTCTGTGTATGTTCTGATACATATTTTGAGATACATAATATACTGAGATACATAACATTCAGATATGTTCCGAGATATATTCAAAGAAATACTAGTGAAATATCTCAGGACATACCTGATTCATCTGCTTTGATCGTTTATCTCAATAAGGATTATTTCTTTACTCACTCAGTTTTCTTCCTTTCTCTCTCTCTCTCTCTCTCTCTCTCTCTCTCTCTCTCTCTCTCTCTCTCTCTATTTTTCCTTTTTTTTAGCGATGAACAAAAATTTCCTATAATTGTCACATAATAAGACGTTTTGCATTAGTCTTTTTAAAAGTTCATCATCATAATAAGGAGAAATAAGGGAGAGGAAAAACATGATTTTCTCAGGTGAATTAGATGTGACACGTTTCTGACTTCTCGCAATCTTTTCACCTATTTTTCTTCCATTTAAAGTACATAATTGCAACGAGTGGTGATCCTTAAACAGAGATAATCCTTGTTGACTTGTAATATGAATGCAGATGACATTTCACTACGTGTCCTAAACAAAAATTAACTTTATACGACGAAATGTATTAGCGCACTTAATGCGATTGGAATGACTTAACAACGACGTCAATATGATCTAACGCTCCGTTATTTTCTACATGAGTTTGCTATAGCTAAATCCCATGAATATTTTTATTTCAGTTTATATTTTAGTTTTCTATATATCTCCCTTCATATATCAAGAATAATTTGATAACATTTATTTAAAGATTTTTTTTTATGTAGAAAGTCTAAAATTTAAGCAGTCATAATTTGATAAAAATACGATCATGAACTAATTCAAATTATTGAAAAAGCTTTTGAATTATTCTTTTAGATATTGTAGACTTTATTTAATTGATAGCATCTTATGATGAAAATTTTCCATAATGAAGATAGCTAAATTGACGATATCTACTGTGAATATTGAAGAGATATTTCTTTAATAACTCGTGTGGATAACGAGGCGTTAAAATAACGAGGAAGACGGTTAATACACTATTTTGCGTGATGCTGACGTCTTCATTGTAAATTGTTTTATGAAAAAAAAGGAAGAAAATGTAAAAAAAAAAGAGGAAACTCTTCGAAGAAGCTTTGCAAAGATAGAAAAGAAAGAAAATTTTTTTCTTTTCTATCTTTGCAAAGCTTCTTCGAGGAGTTTCCTCTTTCTTACCATTTTGTCGCCTTAGATATTTCATATTTATCCCGTCGTTCTTCGGTTATGTTAGAAGAACGTGAATATTCATCGCCGAATATTCTTGGCCTGTAAATTGACCGTCGAGGTTGATTCGTTGAAGAGAAAAATTTGGCAAAATCAGGATTTAATTTAAGTAGCTACATCCAATGAGAATTTTAAGTAGATTATTATAACAGCCCGAATACGCGATAGCGATATAAAGATGAATCGTTTAACGTTCGGGATATAGTTAGGTAAAAAATTGCATACTTGTAACATACTATCATAGTATGCAAATTATTCTAGGTTTTTTTTAATTAAAGTAGGCTATTATGTTATTACAATTAAGAGACAAACTTCGAATATGTTATGCATTTAATGCCTTATTTCCGGCTGTGTTTTAATTGATATTTTCTCTTTCGTTTCTTTTTACACGCATCACGAAACGATGCAATATGTAGAGAAATGAGATATCCATTCATATTTCACAATGACAGATTTCTCAAATCCTCCAGTTCCGATGATTCGCTCCATCAAAAATTACACTGACCGATGCTTTTTTTTCTTGTTACTGATTGTTCCACGAGATAAATTCACGACCGAATGTCTCTACAACGAAACGATCGATTCAAATTGAGAAGAAGCAAATATAGTAGACGCATATAAACGACATATTCTCACACACACACACACACACACACACACACACACACACACACTCTCACTCACTCACTCACTCGAATCTACACTTACACGTACACACATGCAGTAAAATATCTGTTCGACGATACCCAACGGTATATTTATATTATCATTTTATTATTCTGTAAATAGTTCCCTACCTGCATAATATAGTAAATAAATATAATATGCTCTAATTACGCGTAATTTAGTATAAAGAAGTATGAATATTGATATTATATCAACAGACTGTAAATAAGATTATTTTGTAATGCCAAAAGAAACCAAATGAGAATAATTACTGCGTGCACGGACTTATGCATAGTTGAATGCGTACAAAAGACGCGCGTATAACGCACCCATACACATAAAACACACAGACATAAACATACAGACATAAAACACGCGCATCGGATGCCTCTGTAAGATGTATGATTGCGCGCAATCACCCATGTCCAATTAAATACACATGTACAACATTTCGTTCGACAATACGCACCAATTGTACTTTGTTCAGTGGATGCCACGTGGGATCAAAGTGTTCGCTCAGTGATGATTGTCTCAATCATACTTCTTTTTTCCCTTTTTTTAAGATAATGATCAACTTAAGTTAAACCTGAATTAAGTATGCCACAAGTGTTAAGTATGAATTACGAATTGAACGTTTTTATATCTCGTCCAATGACAACGGAATAAGAGAAAAAATAAGAAAGAGATTAGAAGTGTCGCATCTCTCGCTATAGAGAGTAGTCAACAATTAATGGAATTTGCAAAAAATTGAGAGAGAGAGAGAGAGAGAGAGAGGGAGAGAGAGAGAGAAGCGTAGAAATATTGACTTAGTAAATTGAATTAATCTTGTTATTAGGATATTCGTATCGCTCTATTGCGAAAATGAGATTTATGTATGCGCAATGACACGTCTGCCATCTCTTTTTTTTGTAACGTGCGTGTGTCGACATCGTATACGCGTGTGTATAACAAATCTAACGACGATCATATAATATAGTTGCAAAGATCACATTATATTGTTGTGAAAATGTTTTTCGACGTTATGTATTCGTACAATTGAACTGCGATCGAATTATCCGACGCGATAAAATTGCGATGCTGCACGTTCTCTCACGATACGGCAGGAATATTTTTAATTCTTATTGTAGAAGAAAAAGAAAGAGAGAATGGAGTGGCTTGTCTATTTTATCACGTCGATGTTCATTTTCGTGTAATGATCAAGCCTTGTAGTTGAGAAAAGGAGAAACTAAAAGAAGAAAAGAAAGATAGAGAAAAAAGAAAAAACAAAATTAGATTTCGTTTAAAAATCTTTTTACATAAGTCACAATCGTAAAACGTTATTTGCAAACGCAGCAGTCAATCAGAAATCATCAATGATATTGATCGTTTTTAATTGGCTATTGCGTTTGCGAATTTACTTATGTGGAGGGACAGTCTTCTTTCAGTAAAAACGTTTTCATTTTTCAACTGCACACAAGGTAGGCGTTTTTCGCCTACACATGTAATTAGCGCAATTATATTGCGAGGGACAATTAGAGCCGTTGAATAGAGCTCAGTAAAAACAATATTCTTTTTTACGTATTTACAATCTTGTATGTAAAAAAGGTAATACGTAATCAAGTGATTATCCTAGTGGGAGTTTTTCTGATTCGTTACAGAATCAGAAATTGCAAATAAGTCAACTCTTACATTCCTATGAATCTTTCTTTGCTTTAAAATTGAAAAAGGAAACATTGATATATTTTCAATCAATATTAATTAGTGTGCATCTAATCAGTTAACATCCACATGCTCTTCACAATGGCTCTTGTCCAAAATCATAAAGTAACGTCCGAACGATTGTCGTTAAGAAAAAGGGAGGAAAGCTTCCTCCGTCGTTGACTTATCATATATCGTGCGATGCGCCGATGAGACGAGTAAGCCCGTGTGCTAATCGTGCTCCTAGGAGGAATGGCCGATTAACAATAAGTGAAAGTCGGAAATCGTGTCCACAATGCTGTACATAATAATTCTAGTTTGTAAGGATTTAGAGAAATAATAGCCGACGTTTACACAGCGAGAGACGAAGAGAAAAAGTGTGAGAGAGAGAGAGAGAGAGAGAGAGAGAGAGAGAAAGAGAAGGAAAGGAAGTAATGTAAACTACCGCTCTCACGTAATCTTGCAAATATTCCCCGGTCGCGCCCGAAAAAGCTTCTCCCTTGTGCTCAAGGCTGTTCTTTGAGGTCATTTCTGTCGTCGCAGCGAGGAAACGTGTCCTTCAGATTTACGCCACACGTCCTTCACCGCGTTTCATTGCCTGAAGGACAAAATAAGAGATTATGAACATGACACACTTATACTAATGAATATTCTGGGGTATCTCATGGCGAAATTAAAAGATTAGAGTTTCGAATATAAGGGAAGAGCGACAGGAATTTTTAGGAAGCATAAATTAAAACGACGGATAAGGTTGTACAATTTCGAATGTGGTACAATTTTGCACGAAATAAGATTTGAATTTAATTTTTGAGGTTCAAGATTAATCTTTTCCTGTTTAATATCCTTCAGTACCTTCCATACAATGAAAGAATTACCAAACTTAAATCTCAAAAGTTGGATTCAAATTTTATTTCATTCAGAATTGTACTACGTTTGAAATTGTACCATCTTATCCTAAAAGGAATTTAACTTTTAAAACACTTTTTTTTAACGCTATTCTAATTTATGCTTCCCAGAAGTTTCATTTATGTTCTCTTTCTTTACACCAGACTTACACTCCACGTCTTTATTTTCGTCAGAGTGTAAATTCCCTCCGTCGAAGTATCATACGATGTATAATCGCGTTGAAGAATGTATTGTATTCGGCATGAGAAGGACGTCTGTAGCGTGAAGGAATGATTCGCGTAATTCGTCTGCGGCGATTGAATAGAGGCCTTCGAGACTCGCCTCCTAACCGATGAACTCACCTTCCGCTTCGTATTTTTCTTTCTTTCCTATCTATTTTTTTTTCATTTCCTTTTTTAATTTATTCTAGAGACACATGTCTCGTGACTCGAAGCTATCCGCAAATAGGTCGCGGGTTGAAGTTGGCGGCGCGATCCGGGGGACCCGGCTGAATCGGGCCAAGTTTGCCTAAGGTGACATTCAAAAAGTTATCCTCAATAAATGAGAGAAGGAAACGAATTCATTAAAACCAACTGCCAAAGACTTTTTTTTTAACCCTGTCCCTCCGTAAGCGTTTAATTTCATGCCACTTACATTTCATTCTTGATCCAGACATTTAAATTTTGGAAACGTGCCCGCGCTTGAATGCGAGAGCAATCATGAGAGCAACGGGGGCGGAAGTTCCGCGCGCAACTTCATTCCAGACCTCGCGATGCGTGAATGCGTCCCGTCATGTTGCTTATGAATATGTTATGAATATGAATACAGCAACGCAAACTTGAAATTGTTTTCGCGCGTTTGTACAGTCGTTTAATTATTCCGTATGTTATTCATTTCTGTGTAGTTATAAAAAACGAAAATTTAATAAAGAGAGCACATTCTTTATCGCTATGGCAGACTGAGGCGATTTTCTTTACCTTTATCTCGTATGTAAGTACTTCTTATATGTCTTAAAGTGCTTCCCCATGACAATCGGAATTTCAGAAAAGTAATAACGACGATTCAGAATCATTTGTTTGTATAATGTGTTAAATCTAAATGATTCTGGTTGGTCGTGTGACTTTTCCGAAATTCCAATTGTCATGTGATAGCATCCTCTTTCATTTGTAATTAATTAATCTTTTTTCGCAATTACGTATCTCGATTCAAATTTCGAGATGTATCAATTTCGAATACTACAGCAATGACGAATCTATAATATAATATGATTATTATTACACCAAAGACCCTAAATTCCTTTTAAAGGTTTTTAAATATCATAAATATAACATTATAAATATAATATTATAAATATACCAAGGATTAAAAAATACATTAATGAAAGTACTTCCCATCACTTGTAAAACGCTACGAATTAATTCCAACACCTAATACATTTTAAAGTTTCTGAAACATTGATTTGCTGTGCTATATAAATAATTAAGTAAATTTGATTTTGACATTTAAATTTGGGATTTCGAATATCTATTTTACTTTATCCTCAATTGGCATAAAAGCGTTCTCTATTTTAAAAATATTCAAAAAACAAGTATTATAATAATCCAAATGTATGTATATCATGATATATATCACAATTAATATTATAGCATATGATTTTTTTCTAAAAAAATATTTAAAGTTAAAACGAAGATTAAGATAATACTCGAGCCACAAAACATATACACGTACTCGAGCTATTCGAGCATTTAAAAAATTCCATCAATCAATCGAATATTTTTTATGTACATACATATCTCTTTTTCTCTCGCGTCGTTCGATCTTTTGAGGAGTCCTCGAAGCCCTCGAAGCCCTCGAAGGTCCCGTATCTGCATCAGTAAATCTGTCTTTATGTGAGAAGAGGCCCTCCAAGGTCGTAAAAATTTTCGCCTGTTGCGATAATGCACGAGACGTCACATATGCAAAGAATTGCAACGTGGAGAATTGCAACGGCGTATCTTCGAAGCTATGATTTTCGATTAATTTTTTTTCTCGAGTGATTCACAATATCATGGATATGGGTGACGAACAAACATAAGAAATTAACCTATAACAATAGATTCGTATTGTATGTCATATGTAAATAAGGTATGGATATCTCGAATCGGCCTACTGACTTCAGGTTAACATTTTTTTTATCACGTCATACATATCTTGTATCCTGAACAAATTTTTTACAGATACTCGAACCGTATTTATTCTTTATACAGAATCACATATAATTGACTTTTAGAATATATCATGTCTCGTCTACTGTTGTTTCGCAATTTTATGTCGTTGTCAAAATGTATGTCACTTAGAAATGAATGTAGGCAGATCCATCATTCGTAAGTACAATTTGTTTCACTGATAATGAGTAGAAAATAAGTCGTTTATTAAGTATTTATAGTCCGTTCTTGGTTTAAGATAATCTTAAATAATGTCTTAAAATGCTGATATAACTATAAAATGCTGTATATAACTCTAATTGATTCATGACGTCTTAAGATTGTACTTAATCAATCTTAAATGAAAGAATCATCTATGAATATTTATTTAAGTTTAACATATATAAATCTATCGCATTAGCTGCAAAATCCTGGTGATTGGAGGTGGTACTGCTGGCTGTTCGATGGCTGCAAAACTGTCAAGAACAATCAATAATCCAGAGCAAGTTATCGTGTTGGAACCCAATGATGTAAGTAATAAATAAAAATCATGTTATATATTTTTATTCGACAATTTAAAAACATTTTTTTAGGTACATTATTATCAACCCTTGTTTACATTGATTGGTGGTGGTATCAGTCCTTATGCATCATCGAAAAAGTATATGAAAGATGTTTTGCCAAAGAAAGCGAAATGGTTGAAAACTTCCATCGTCGAATTTCAACCAGATGCTAACAAAGTGTCAACACATCATGAAGATACTATACAATATGACATTATGATCGTTGCACTTGGTTTACAATTGTATTGGGATAAAGTAAGACATCAAATAGTGACTATACTGAATTTGTATAATGTACCTACAAAACGATGCAAAAATATTTTTCACAGATTCCAGGTCTATTGGACAGTGTATATGATTCTGATGCACAAGTATGTTCTATTTACGGGCCCGACACTGTATCCTATGTTTATCAGAAAATAAAAAACACTAGACAAGGAACTGCGATATTCACGTTTCCGAATACTCCGGTTAAATGCCCGGGTGCACCTCAAAAAATCGCCTATATTGCCGAGGATTATTACCGCAATGTATGCCTGTATAATTATTATATTATATGTTAATTTACAAGGAGAATTTTCAATTAATTATTTATTTTTTACTTAAAGCACAAATTGCGAAATAACATTGACGTCGTATATAACACTGCGTTGCCAGTTATATTCGGAGTTAAAAAATACGCCGATTCCTTGTGGGGCGTTTGTAAACAAAGAGACATCACTGTCAATCTTCAAACGAATCTGGTAAAGATAGACCCGAGCAAACGACAGGCAACGTTTGAGAAATTAAACTCACCAGGAGAGACATTAGTTCAGGAAGTATGTTTTATCAATAATATGATCAGTATGTTTTATCTATGATAAAGGATTAAATATTACCGATATAAATTTAATATTCTTGTTATATTGTATTAGTATTCTCTTCTCCATGTGACGCCTCCAATGGGACCACCTGCAGTTTTGAAAAAACATCCAGGATTAACTAATGAAGCCGGATTTCTCTGCGTTGATCCTAAAACGCTACAACATACGAAATATCCAAATATATTTGGCATAGGTGATTGTACAAGTACACCAAATTCTAAGACAATGGCTGCAATAGGTAAAGAAATAATATATTTTAAATTTAAGAAATAGTAAAATATCATGATTATACATTTATACCACGTTTGTTAAATAGCCGCACAGGGAAAAGTGTTGCACCAGAATATATTGGATGATTTGGCTGGCAAACCAATGATGATGGCTTATGATGGTTACGCGTCATGTCCATTAGTTACTGGCTATGACAAGTGCATTCTAGCAGAATTTGACTATAAGTTACAACCAAAGGAAACTTTTCCAGTGAATCAAGGCAAAGAATATTACATCATGTTTTTGCTAAAAAAATATCTATTCCCATTTATATACTGGCACTTAATGTTGAGGTGAGATAATTTAAATTGACATATGTAATCTTTAGCTGAATTTTTGTATATATTACTATTATACATACAATTTTTACATACAGAGGTTACTGGAACGGACCAGAATTCTTCCGCAAACTTACGAAGGTTCTAAATAAAGATTAATGTTCATCGAAGAGAAATATGTCCCGTGCCTTTTTTCCGCAACTAACAATAAGTAAAGAATGACACCGTGTTTCTAGTTAAAAATTGCTACACACGCATGTATATATATGTATAAATATAATCTCTTAGTATATTTATCATATAAAGTTAGATTTTATATGATAAATATACTATAAAAAAAATTTAACTTTTTATTTATAATAAAATTTAATAATATTGGATCATCTAAAAAGTATTCGCGGTTTTTTGTCACTAGATGTGTGTTGATGATCATATATCTAGTGACAAAGTACCGCGGATACTTTTTAGATGACCCAATATATACAATTATAATATATGTATGATTTACATGTATATGAAATATTTTTACATGTATGTTGGGATATTGTAATAATATTAAAATAATTTACTATTGTTAGAATATTCGAAAGAATTTAAAGATTCATGAAAATTCTTATTACAAAAAAATATTGTATTTAAGTAATCGAGAATTGTAATATTGAAATTTTTTTCTCTCTAGTTACGAACATTATTCTAGGGAAATTTATATTTAAGCAGTTAGCAACTCTGGTTTCTGGTGGACACGTCAAAATCAATTTGACGTAAACATGGATGGTCAACCATTGGTAGGTTTTTAAGACAAATATCAATTATTTTGCCATACATGTCAATTAAAAAACTTTGAAGCTTATATTCATGATAAATATATGTTCGCGCGAGAAAATCGCAGTAAATATTTTGAAATTGCTTAACATAACCTAAACGTGGCACAACGAACTTATTCCTAACTCAATTTCTAATGAGTCATACGGTAAAATCGATTTTTATTTTTAATTCATTTTGTCAGTTTTATTTTTTACATCATTCTTGACGCAGAAAGAAAAAAGAAAAAAAAACATTGATATGATTTTGGACTACTTAATATAATTAATCAAAATCTTGCACTGCATATGTATTTTATTAGATACTCTATTATGTTTTCGTTTGTGAAGATATGTATAGTTTTATTACTCACAAAATTGAATTCAGAAAATAATTTTAGGAGCCCACATTGTATACAGTGAAAGGAATGGCCATCCTCGACAATGATGGCAACAGGATACTGGCAAAGTACTATGATAAAAATGTGTTTCCAACATCAAAGGAGCAAAAAACCTTCGAGAAAAATCTGTTTAGTAAAACACACCGAGCAAATGCAGAGATTATCATGTTAGATGGTTTGACTTGTGTCTATAGAAGTAATGTTGATTTGTTTTTCTATGTTATGGGCAGCTCACATGAAAACGAAGTTTGTATAATTACACGACTCTGTCAAGTATTTCAAATATTATCATGGAACATTAATTTATTGGGCTTATTTCAGTTGATCTTAATGAGTGTCCTAAACTGCCTGTACGACTCGGTTAGCTCAATCCTCAGAAAAAATGTGGAGAAGAGAGCAGTACTGGATAGCTTGGACATAGTAATGCTAGCAATGGATGAAATTTGCGATGGCGGGTAAATAGAACATTTAGTTAGTTTTTAATCAATATAATATAATCAATGTGATAAAATAAAAATTTATCTTTTCAGTATAATTTTGGATGCAGATGCGACAAGTGTGGTGCAGAGGGTAGCATTGCGAACGGATGACATTCCACTTGGAGAACAAACGGTAGCGCAGGTATACCTCATCTTAATGTATTTTTTTTTCAAGTTACAAATTACAAGTTTCGATTTACATATTTGACGAGAATTGTTTTTTTGTTATAGGTATTGCAATCAGCTAAAGAACAGCTCAAATGGTCATTATTAAAATAAATACTTTTTATACATAATTCTTTCCCGTAAACAGGTATGCAATATATATTATAAAATATTGTATAATATAAAACTTGAATGAAAATATCTATAAATTTTTAATTTAAACTGTATGTTAGTTTATTTTGTCTTAAAAAAGTTTTGGAAATATAGGAAATTCTTAGAAACAAAGAAAACTCTTTTAAACTTTAGTTAGTGTCTAGCAATCTCCTTTTGCCAATTATATTCTTTTAATACTTTGTCAACTTTTAAAATTCTCAATTATTCTAATTTGAAATTCCGAATTTCTAGAAATACAATTTTTGAAAATTTTCAGAATTTATGTATTTTCTATGAAACTAATAAAATTATAGATGGTCGATAAAGTAACTAGCAATTTTATCTGAAGAAGATATCGGCATTTGTAATTACCAACAAAAATAGTAAATACTTTTCTAATTAGATGGCGCCATTGATTTGATTCTTAAATAAGTAGCAACTTGATTTTATTTATCGGAAAGATCCCTGTTTTTTTCTTTATTTATTCAACATATTTGCAGAATATATTTAATATGATGCTAATATATTATATATATTAGTAATTTTGAAATATCATTTTTTAAAACCCTTTAACAGCAATGTGAAATTTCGTTCACACTCTGGATTGTTGAGATCCTCATTGCAGATTTTTTAATTATTCCAGACTATATATGTATAAAAATCTGGAAAAATTGTTGTATACTTACTTGTGAAATCTTTAACAAATTTTTATA